TGTCCATCCGAAAGAGCTGAGTTGGGGTTTAGAGTTTAGGGTTCAGGGACTCGGGCGTCCGGGTTTAGAGTTTAGGGATTCGGGTGTCGGGTTTACGGTTCAGGGCTTGGGGCTCAGGGTCAAGTTTTTCGACTCTCGCGACTCGGGCAATGAATGCAGGCGAGGTTGAGGTTTCAGGGTTTCGGGTTTACCTGTAGTCTCCATTGTAGTTCCTTTTGGGGGATACCTTATAAAATCCTTTATATATAATTGGTTAAACCAAAAAAGGAACTACAATGGAGACTATAGGTAGGGTTTAGGGTTTTGCTTGGACTCCGCCAGACTACGGTCCAGGGCTCAGGGTTGAGGTTTTACGCCCTCACAACTCGGACAAGCCAGGCGAGGTTCCATAGTCGCCGGTGGGAGTGATACAAATATAATCTTAGGGTTTCGGGTTTTTTCTTAGTGTTTATAGTTTTCGGCTCGGGGTTTGGAGAGTGATTTGTTTTGACGCTCACACTGTCACTCGGACACTCAGGGTACTTTATGGTACTTTTCCCACCCGCTTCGCTGACGCGTTCAGGGTTTGGGCTCTGGTTTTTTAGCCCGCGCTCTCGATTGCATTGGGGTTCAGGGTTTCGACATGGATCCACACGTCTGATGGCACTAGCTAGGGGTTTAGGGGCTGGGCAGGGGCTGGGCACTCCCATCGCCGGATTTGCGCTCTCGGCGAGGTCTCTCGCTGAAGCTTCCTCCATCCCTCTCGACAAGCGCGAAACAAACCAACGACAAGGAAACTTAACACCCGGCTAAACAAGCATCGCATGATTAACGCTGTCGCAACTCGGCACAGCCAGATGAGCGGACACAGGAGCTTGCAAGGGCAGCTGAAAGTGCAATGGCAAAGTTAGATATCGAGCAAGCTACATAAGATTCACTAGTAACAAGGCCGCTCGACCTGCATGCAGGAATGGGTTTGCAGTTTGGGGTCAAGGGCTTATCAGAGCTCAATACGGCGGGGCAGAGGGAAGGATGAGTATGGTTTAGCACCCAGGGTTCCAGGCTCCAGCTTAGGGTTTCAGGGTCGAAGTCTCCTGAGCTGGCCTTTTCGCCGTACGGATAGTCTTTGTC